TAGTAGTAGCAGTAGTAGAAGTAGTACTACTACGTAGCAGTAGTGGTACGTAGCAGTAACAGTAGCAGTAGAGGTAGATCGACAAGCTTTAGACCAAAAGCAGAAACATGCAGTTGGACTTGTTTCTCCAAGGGCGGGCTAGGCGCGCGAGAGCCAACGCCAGAGAGACGGTCGGTTCCGGGGCAGGCGCAGCGACATGATGATATGGATTTCTTGAGTAGACTACGTTTTTGAGTTCAGTTCTTTTGGGATTGCAGGTCCTGCGGTGTCGGGTTTGCCTAAGAGCACCGTAGAAGATGAAATATCGCTAATGCAGACGCAAAGCTGGCACAGCACACCCACATGGTAGTAACGGAATTGGTAGTGGTGTGGCGGTGGTGTCGTGGTGGTGCTGGTACTGAGGTAGTGGCATTGGCCATGGCCGGGGGGTGATGGTGAGGGGGGTAGGGGGGGTAGCGGGGTAGGGGTAGGGGCGAGCTAGCGTTACTAGAGGCGGTTGTCGTCATCGTCGTAGAACAAGTAGTACGCAGTGATTTGTGGAACCTCGTCGCTCATGTCAGTACGGTTGGACTCAGGGTTAGGTTCAAGACCTTACCAGACCAGGGCGAAAGTATGAAGACGGGGAGTCGTGCAACTGTACTGCGCAAGAGCTTTCAAAAGGTGAAGTATTGTCGCACACTTAAGTAATCTTCTTGCCATTTTCGGCATCGTATTGGTAGTGATAGTTGTAGTGGTAGTGGTGGAGGTGGTCGTAGTAGTAGTAGTAGTAGTAGTAGTAGTAGTAGTAGTGGTAGTAGTAGTAGTAGTAGTAGTCGTCGTAGCAGTCGTAGTAGTCGTAGTAGTAACGGCAATGAAGAAGGAGATGATGATGGCGCCGATGGTCGCAGTGGAAATAATACTGGTGGTGGTTATAAGGATGGGCGAGACGATGGTGCTGATGCGGGTGATCAGGGTGACGATGGCGATGATTATGATGTGAGGAGGGTGATGCACAATGGCCATGATGATGACGATTGCAGAGAGAAACAAGCCAAGCCAAGCCAAGCCTTTTTTCTGTCATATTTCTTGTATTTGAAGCCCTCTCCTGCAGAAGACACCCTGAGAAGACTTTCAAGCAGAAAGCTGTCATTCACAGAATAAAGGCTCACAGAACACCCTCCATAGCAGCAAGCCTATAATAGCTGGATAGTTTAATCACCAAACCGCATGGAACCAACCAAGCCAAGAAATGCCCTTTTCCATCAGAACTCCTTCGGCCCTGCGGCCCTTGTCAAACAGAGAACCCTCACTACACAGAAAGCCCTCCTTCGGCTTTTCTCCTTTGAACGGCAATGCTGAGATAAATTCCCTTGCAATTATCAGAGCCACGAGCTGTGTCCGGACAGGTGTTGCGTGGCGGCCTTCGGCCAAAGGTGCACGGCCTATGCTACCACAGTGGTGATTGTGCTGAGCACTGGTGGTGGCGGTCGTGGCAGCAGTAGCCGTAGTAGTAGCAAGGAATGCGATATGCGTCTTCCCCAAGGCTAGGATGCCAGAAACTTAAAGAAAGCTTTCGTCTCCAGGATCATCTCAGCGGCAGCGCTTGTGTGACTTCTGCCGCGCAGACTGCATTTCGTCACAGGGTATCAAAGCATGTCGGAGCAAATCACCTCATTGCCAGCTGAGTGTGTTGCAGGATCGGCAAGATCATCCGCTGGCGCTGCCACGAAAGGCCTGGACATGGGCTCTGTTTTCGCTTCTCGTCAAAGGGGGCAGCTTCATCAAAGTGATTTCTGGATCGCACACGACTGCTGCACATCGTCATCATTTGTGGTGTTAGCATTGCGATATGGAGTTGCTGCCACTAAGTTCCGGAAAGAGTATGACGGGCATAATTCCTGCAGTGACAGTTTCTTACTATCTGGGGCCTTAGCAGTAGCAGTGGCAGTTGCAGTGGCTGTAGCAGTAGCTGCAGAAACAGCAGCAGAAGCAGCAGTAGCGGTAGCAGTGGCAGTGGCAGTAGGAGTAGCTGCTTTCGGCTTTCCCCGAAGCCGAAAGAAGCCACCAAGTGACGAGTCATCATGAAGAGCAGGGGCTGTCGCCCTAGGTGGCATAGGCACTCAACCGATGATTCACGGTTGACCTACGAGCAAGTATTGTCATCGCTCTGTAGAACTACCGAACATGTGTTGAAAAGGAGATAACACTCGTGCGAATTGAACATCACACCGCTCAGCAAGACGATTGCCGTCACAGTGCAAGTGCTGACCATCCTGCACCAAGCATGTGGTGCAGTGCCCTGTATGCGCTGAGGCGCCATGATGGAGCACCTATGCTTGTATGCGGTACTCAATCCAGTAACTCGCCAGCCTCGAGCCACTGAATACCGGAATTTGAATGCGTGCACCAATGTTCACCTGCAATCTGTTTTTGCTGGTAGTCTCATCCGTGACACTGAAGCAGAGCAGTTGAGTGGACAGTATCCCTCCACAATCCTTTCGCATGCTCGTTTCTGACGGAGATGTCCAACTTGAACGCTGGGCATCGATGGTCTCCGCGTGCAGTGGAAGCCTTGAATCACAGTCACATCGTGTTGACGACAGTGCACCATGTACTCGAGCCTTTGCGCCATGTAGCAGGTTCAGTAGCAGTGGGAGTAGAAGTAGAAGTAGCTGTAGAAGTAGCAGTAGCGGTAGCCGTCGTCGTAGTAGAAGTCGTCGTCGTCGTGGTCGTCCTAGTAGTAGTAGTAGTAGTAGTAGTAGTAGTAGTTGTTGTTGTTGTTGTTGTTGTTGTCGTTGTTGTTGTTGTTAGTAGTAGAAGTAGAAGTAGAAGTAGAAGTAGAAGTAGAAGTAGAAGTAGTAGTAGTAGTAGTCGTCGTCGTCGTCGTCGTAGTCGTAGTAGTAGTAATAGTAGTAGTAGTAGTAGTAGTAGTAGTAGTAGTAGTAGTACTTATTAGAAGGAGTGTCCGGAGTTGGAGTCAGAGTGGGAGTCGCAGTACCAGCAGCAGTAGCACAGCAGTAGTAG